ATAACCCGAATTTTCCCTCTCTCAGCAAGTCTATCACTTTTGGGGTGGGCTCCAATAAAATCAAGGAATAAATTTACATGAACTCTGCCACTAGTACAATTTATTATATTAGTAACTGAAAACATAAGTCGTATAACCATCAATAAGACACCAGCCTCATAGATCCAGATCCAGTTATGATCTCGTACCGATCTTCCCGACATGGTCATGCATGTCCTGCTGTAAACTACTTCAAAGTCACCTTCCTTGGCACTTTCACTATCTGATCGGAGTCAGTCTTGTACTCATATGGTTGCTGTATGTCCCGTATCTTGTTGTTGGTCTAAGTTTCAATCCATTCATTTAATCCTTGAAATCCATTGCAACAGACGACGAGAAACATTATCAATGCCAAAATATAGTAGCCCTCTTCCAACTCGTAGTTCTTTTAAGCGATTGGAAATGACACCAAGGTTTCAGAACCCGCATCAACAAAACACAACTTCACTCTTTGGCGTACATCCAAAAGGTGGACGCAACAGTCTTCTAAAAAATGGAGCTATGTGATTTTGTCGACATCCTCTTCCGCCTCCCACAATGTTACCTTTTACGCAGACGTACTTTATTCCCGTATTTCAAAAGCCTCATAAAGATATCCGAGGGTTTTAAGAAATGAAACTGCCGAAACTGTTTCGGTAAGACGGGTTTAAATAAGAGCTTTTCTTTCTATTAAAAGAGTCTCAATAGTTAGAACTCCAGCATCAGTTACAAAAATGATTTCTCGTAAAAACAAATTCCATGCACTTGAAAGAAAGACTGCTGATTTCTTTGAACCCTCAGAAATTCTTTTTAGCCAGAAACAATGCTAAGAGTCAGAGCTTTTGTATTTGGGTAATGTTTGACTTGATGATCTTTTGGGTCCGTGAAAACAGTATTTTCCTTTTCCGAACACAGAAATCTTGTTAATATCAGAAGACGAAATTATTCGTTGAGTTGTGTATAACCAGCTCTTTGACTTACGCTTTCTGTTTGTCAGGTACTGCTCTGGTGTGCCTTTTGCACATAGTAATATCAGTTAATGTGCCACCTGGTCATCAGCGGGACAGAAAATTGTCGCAAAATAGCATTTCGGTTTGCAAAACTTTGTTGCTTTCATTAACATTAATATAATATCACTTAACTGTTAACTTTTCATTTATCAGTTAACTACTAATTTTTTGGCCAATTATCAGTTAACTACCATTTTTTTGGCCAAATATCAGTTAACTGTTAACACCATTCGCACCATCAAATATCGTTGTAGACATGGAAGGCTTGGCAAGAGTGATTAAGCCCTTAATTTTGAGACTAAAAAGGAAGGCGTCGACTAGCCTGGGACCAGGCTGCGCATTGGTGGGGGCGGGGGGCGAAGGGGAGGAAGAAGGAAAAAAATGGGCGTGGGCGAAAAAACCAAATCGGGGAGCGAGCCGAGAGGTAGTCTGGGGAGGGGAAATTAAAGAGTAACCTGGGACTAGGCTCCGCAGTTGGGGAAGAAGGCAAAAAACGGGGTCAAACAACAAAAATATTGGCTAGCGAAGCAAGCTGAGCGGTGGATTGGGGCTCGCTCTGCCGCTCGCCGATATTTTTTGCTATTTGACCCGGATGTTACCTTCTTCCCTTCATTGCGGACTCTGGTCTCAGGGTAGACGTCGACTTCATTTGCTCTTAATTAAAAAAGCAAATTCTAGCCTAAATTCTTGCTTAAAGTACGGGTTGACTAAAATGGTTGCAACGACCTTATAAGAAAAGAATTCTTTCGTATGTTGTGCCATGGTCGGCGTTATACGTCTTATATAAGATGATATATTACCGGAAATTAACGGCAAACGTTCGCAAGTGCCTACCTATCACTTACGAGAGCTATGGAGATCACTTCCTCGGGGGAAGGGGGAAGTCAAATACTTACTTTATGCATATGTATTACTGTTAGATGTAACGTTTTTAGACAATGTTGGGTGAAGAAGTCTTTGAATAAGAGAAGTAATGTGACCAGTACAAGAACGTAGGGGCTCGAACATTTTCTTTTTTGGAACGGGGTTCTCATATGGGGGATTGGGAACTTGGCTCTAATCATTTTCTAATGGACTGACGAAAGTCACGCTAAAATGTTCATTTTTGTTCTTGGTTTCTCAATATAGCAATACCCTAGTTTCTGTATCTGGCATTTCAAAGGGTCATTTCTGAAATAGTCAGATTGTGTTTGGTTATTGATAGTTTCCTGACCCTTAATAGCTCATCTGATCCCAGAGGGATTTTCGTCAGTCAAATGAGTGCAAGGATCCTGAGTCGCTATTTTGGTAGCCTACGAGCAGTCTCTCTTTTTTCTTTGTCCGTCGAGCAAACACCCGAGGATCTTGAGTCGCTATTTTGTCTCATACGTGACGTCATTTCGTACAGCGTAAAATTGGTGGGAAGTTCAAGTTTCTCATTGCAGTTATTTTTCTATTATTTGGAACGGGGGTGCCACTTAGGACAAAAACGGACTGGTGGAGGTGTAAATAGTAACAGACCACTTCCGAGATACAAAAACTCTCACTCTGTACACGAGGCTAAGTGCAAAACCCTTCCTGTGAAAAAAAGTTTTATTTGCATGAAAATACAAAATCATTTTCACATCAGTAACTTCGCACTCAGCCTCGCTCTGAAAAAAAATCTTGGAGCAACTCGGAAATGGCCAATACTTAAAGTTTAAGACCTTGATTTTCTACTAACAACTTAGAAATGTACAATATTTATTAAAACTAACTGGCCATAATTAACAATAAGTCATAAAAAATCAATGAAATATTAGAAAGAGTAATGTAAATCCTTAATATAAGAACAGTAAACTAGTCATAATTAACACTTAATGAAAAGTAATATACTGAAAGTGAAAGTGATCTACTGAAAAATAAACTGAAAATTTTCCTTGACAGATTATCACTAGCCTTAATATTTCTTTAAGTGATGAAAATGTGTTCGGATCATGACCGTCTTTTTCAACCTTCAAAGCCCACATTTTTTTCTCATGAAAATTCACAAATAAAGGAGACCGGAAGAAAATACAAACTGGTCACATGACAGTGCTAAACAAAGAGTTTCCAGCCGCTTTAATGTTGAACGCAACTGGTTACGCGTGATCTGTGGACACAGTTGATTTTTTAAACGATTGTTGTCGAACAAATTTCTTTTGTATCGGATGGACTTGAAGGCTCAGAGAATACTCAATCAACAAACACACTGTCATCTTTTTATTTCGGACTGGAAAAACATTGTCCTTCCTGGTGTGACCTTGTCTTTTAAACAGCCAAAAAGGCGCGAAGTTTCATTACTTTATATGCGGCTAGTCGTGTCAGTAAACACCGCTCTGGTGTCGCTGGCGAGCTAAACATTACGTCCTGTACATAATATAATAAATAATTTTTTGAGGAGGCTTCCAGTGACCTTAAGGTGGTTTTTAGGAGGGTCCTCTAAAAAAAGAAGATCAAAAATATATGAAAAATACGCTAAAATATGGTTACAAACTAACACTACAAGAAAGATTTAAAAATTGAACCAACATTACAAATACTAACGACGATTCAAAATGATTTAATAAAAACTGTTTCAGTTGTGTTTCAACTTCGTTTATTCTGCGGACGCGATACTCTCAGGGAGTCGACCACGAAGAGAACAGTCTCATAACTGAAGTAATTAACAAGTTAAAAAGATATGTTTTATGTCGTAATTATTCCAAACTATAAGTGTGAACGGAATCTGGTAAGGACCAGATATTTACACTGAACAAATATAGTGCCTTACACGCTTTTGAAGAAAAAACTTTGCAAATAAAAGGTATATGGAATTAACCAAAAAAGTCATATTTCACTTCTTAAAAGACTAACTATCATTAATAAATGGATAAAACAAACGACTAACTGTGGAACAAAATACGCCATTTCTCTATTTAGAAGGGGTTTGGAAGCCACAAGTAAAAAGCGAAGAAAAGTTATCTGCGAAGACTCGCATTCCTTAGTTGTCTAAAAATTGAATACGACGATGAACAATATCTGTTTTGAAAACAATATTTAGCTGAGTCCTCAGTGATATGAGCGTGTAGAACTGGATGTTACGAGTATATAGCTGATTCGAGAAAGGTTGTCACGTGAAAAGATGAATTCGGACGCTACAATGCAGAGAGATTAGTGAATGTCATTAGTTCATAGTTGCTTTCGTTTTTATTCTTTTACTTGTGTTCCAGTCTCCAAGCGACCAAGGTACCGGCAAGTGAGCAATTCATCATTTAGAGTTCGTCATATTTTGCTGTTTCCGTTATATTGTGCTGCAATGTAACTGAAAAAAAAATATATATTGTTATTTTTTTTATAAGGAAACGTATAAGGGTCTTCCGAGTAAAAAATGAGTAGCTTCTTAAATTACCCCAAGGTAGGTCATTTCCGATATTTCCAAAGCCTCTGTTTTAAACTCTCCGGAGGGCTTAATTTCAGAAACTGGGAATAACATTCAAAGACAAAATTCTTGTATTTCTCCAAACTGCAACAATGTTTTTTGCAACTTAAAAACTTTAATCAAGTAAAGAATGACCCTCGCTGTTGTCATTTGTGACCTGCCCCCAACATCAGTGGCTTCATAGCTCAGTTCGTTAGAGCTTTGCACCGAAATCGCGAGGTCACGGGTTCAAATTCCCTTGAAATTCTGAAGTTTTTCAGGTTTCTTTTACGCAATTGCATAAATTGCGTTCAGAACTGCGAGGATCATTCTTTACTTGATTTCATTTTCCGCTCTTTTCATTTATGATTTATTTCATATACATTTGTCGCATTAAAAAATTTAGCCCAAAACTTTTCAAGTTTTTTTTCGTAGTAATTCCACTTTATCTTCTTCACGCGAAACTATTCTTTATCTTATAAGTATTATCGACGTGTGGTATTTCTAACACTGCCTTTTTGCGTTTCATTGACTCAATGACAATATCAACTAAAATTATCCAAAGAACTTCACCTTCATTGGTCCAAATTTAAAGTGACGTCATCGCCAATCAGCATAAATGGTGCCCAGTACTTCACGGCATTGAAGTCGTCTGACTCTCGCATCATTTTCATGGCCTCATGAAGCGATTTACTTGCACTCTGCCCCTTGGCCAAATGTTCGTAAAAGTGTCTCATAAACTTCAGAGTGGCTTCGTCGTCAATCGCCCAAAGTGACGCAATAACAGAACGCGCACCGGCTCCTAAAAAGGCACGTGCAATTCCAACCACGCCCTCAGCCTTGATATTCCCTCGTCCACTGTGACAGCAGCTCAAGACAACAAGCTTGGCGTCCAATTTTGCATTCAACACATCTGTCATTGTCAAAAGACAGTCTTTCTCTTCGGGAGGATTGGAGCTGCCATGATTAGGTGACAACAGAATTTCACCCCTTTCTGCAGAACCATGAGCTGCAACGTGAACTAAAGAAACTGAGTTTAGTCTGCTTAACACTTGTTCTTTTGTAGCGTTTTTTCCAGTGAGAGGCTCAACGTCTAATATCTCACCAATCATTTTTACCTCTTCTTCAGCGCCAGGAAGCTGCTCAATTTTCTCTCCTTCGATGCGTACAGTTTCAATCCACGGATTACCAACAAGAAGTGCACGAGTTGTATAATGGCGCCCCTCTGGACACTCTGACAGCAGCCTCAAGCTTGTTAGTGACGGAGCCAATCGAATTCTCAGCGTTTCAGACAAATACCTGAAATTTTGATCCAAAAGGGAAGCATAAGGAATCAAGAATGATGAACCATCAGGAACAATGATAAGTTCCTCATCTTTTATCAAGTGTGAAATCGAAGCAACAACCACATCATACAATTCCTTTAAAGCATCACTCCCAGCTTGTAACGATGTAAATTCTTTTTCATTGGCACCCCTATCGGATAAATCTTCAATTGGTTCGTTGTCTGGGTCATTCAGTGAGCGATCTTCGCACCTGGCAGGTTTAGTAGCACAAATTTGTTCGTATGCTTTGTCAGTCATATCTTCCAAGGTATAACTCAGTTTTCTGCCCATAATAAACTGCCATTCCCGGTCCCTTTGCAACACCCAGAATAACACTGACTCGAAAGCTTCCGCAAGAAAGGTCGTAGGCGATGAAAGAAGGCTTGAAATGTTAGCTATTCTTTCAATCTGCTCTTTTGATGCTAATGAAGACGATTTTGCGCCATACCGTGATTCCATCAGATCAGCGAGAGCCTGCGCTCGTCCCCGCTCAGCTGTTAAAAGCGCCTCTTTGGTCTTGCTTTGTCGTAACTGAACAATCCACAACCACCTGTACGTTTTTAATTTATCTCGAAAGCTGATTTTCCATTCGTCTTTCTCTTGAAGAAGGAGCCTCATCTCCTCAAACACTTTTATACTGGATTCATAACACTCTTCAGCCTTACGGAAATCATGAAGCATATCAAAAATAATACCAAGATTGTGGTACGTGCTTTGTTCTGTACCTTTGTCTCCAATCTCTTTTGCGATGCTAAGAGACTGCTGATAGAATTCGATGGTTTTTTTATAATCACCGAAAGAGCAATACGCGTTGCCAAGGTTGATATATGCTTCGCCTTCTAAACCCTTGTCTCTAATCTCTTTTGCGATATTAAGAGACTGCTGATGAAATTCGATTGCTTTTTTATAATCACCGAGCAAGTCATTCGCGATGCCAAGGTTAGTATATGCTTTGCCTTCTGCATCTTTGTCTCCAATCTCTTTTGCGATACTAAGAGACTGCTGATGAAATTCGATTGCTTTTTTATAATCAGCGAGACAGTTACACGCCATGCCAAGGTTGGTATGAGCTTTGCCTTCTGTAGATTTGTCTCCGATCTCTTTTGCGATACTAAGAGACTGCTGATGAAATTCGATTGCTTTTTTATAATCACCGAGAGAGTAATACGCATTGCCAAGGTTGGCATTTGCTTTGCCTTCTAAACCTTTGTCTCCAATCTCTTTCGCGATACTAAGAGATTGCTGATGCAATTCGATTGACTTTTTATAATCACCGAGACGGTAATACGCATTGCCAAGGTTGGTATATGATTTGCCCTATGTATCTTTGTCTCCGATCTCTTTTGCGATACCAAGAGCCTGCTGATGGAGTTCGATTTTTTTTTTATAATTACCGAGACAACCAAACACACAGCCAAGGTTGGTATATACTGCACCTTCTGAACCTTTGTCTCCAATCTCTTTTGCGATTCTAAGAGACTGCTGATGAAATTCGATTGCTTTTTCGTAATTACCGAGACCTCTATACTCATCGCCAAGGTTGGTATATGCTGCACCTTCCGAACGTTTGTCTCCAATCTCTTTTGCGATACTAAGAGACTGCTGATGAATTTCGATTGCTTTTTTATAATCACGGAGACAGCCATACGCACAGCCAAGGTTGGTATATGCTGCACCTTCTGAACGTTTGTCTCCAATCTCTTTTGCAATACTAAGAGCCTGCAGATAAAATTCGATTGCTTTTTCATAATTACCGAGACGATGATACGCAGTGCCAAGGTTGGTATATGATTTGCCTTCTGCATCTTTGTTTCCAATCTCTTTTGCGATACCGAGAGCCTGCTGATGAAGTTCGATGTTTTTTTTATAATTACTGAGACAGCCATACGCACAGCCAAGGTTGGTATATGCTGCACCTTCTGAACTTTTGTCTCCAATCTCTTTTGCGATACTAAGAGACTGCTGATGAAATTCGATTGCTCTTTCATTACTACCGAGACATCTATACGCAGCACCAAGGTTGGTATATGCTTTGCATTCGGTATCTTTGTCTCCAATCTCTTTTGCGATACCAAGGGCTTGCTGATGGAGTTCGATTACTTTTTTATAATTACTGAGACAGCCATACGCACAGCCAAGGTTGGTATATGCTGCACCTTCTGAACGTTTGTCTCCAATGTCTTTTGCGATACCAAGAGTCTGCTGATGGAGTTCGATTGCTTTTTTATAATTACCGAGACCGCCATACGCACAGCCAAGGTTGGTATATGTTTCACCTTCTGAACTTTTGTCTCCAATGTCTTTTACGATACTAAGACACCGCTGATGAGATTCGATTGCTTTTATATAATCACCGAGACAGTAATATGCACAGCCTAGGTTGGTATATGCTGCACCCTCTGAACTTTTGTCTCCAATCTCTTTTGCGATACTAAGAGACCGCTGATGAAATTCGATTGCTTTTTTATAATCACCGAGACGTCTATACGCATCGCCAAGGATGGTATATGTTGCACCTTCTGAACTTTTATCTTCAATGTCTCTTCGGATACTAAGAGACTGGTGATGAAATTCGACTGCTTTTTTATAATCACCGAGACAGTAATACGCACAGCCAAGGTTGGTATATGCTGCACCCTCTGAACGTTTGTCTCCAATCTCTTTTGCGATACTAAGAGACTGCTGATGAAATTCGATTGCTTTTTTATAATCACCGAGACTTCTATACGCAGCGCCAATGTTATAACTGGAGGTTTTGTCGTTTAGTCCATGTTTACCTTCAGCTTTCCTGAAAGACTAAGACAGAACAAAATTACTAATTTTAACTAGAAATGCGTGAATCGCAGGTCCTCACGTAGCACTTCGCCGGAACGGCAAGAAGTTGGAAGAAAGGGAAATAAGGCAATAGGGAAAATTTATAAATTAAAGATACTTACGCTTTATAGAGAAACAAAACAAAACTACAATAACTAAAAACGAAAAGGAAAAACAAACAAGAAAAGACAAACAGATTACGCTCGGAATCGAACTCAGGACCTACGCACCGAGCAGTTTCATTACCACCACGCCACGTGGGCACATATGAAGGCGGCGATACCTTTTTATTTAAGCCTTTCCCCTGGAGCTTCTGCCAGCGCGCTCAGAAGAAAGCTGATCGAGCCATATTAAACATGAATTCAAAAAAGATATTTTTAGGAGAATGACTGCTGTTTTGTCGGTAAGAAAACAACTTAATCGCATTCCATGGAATTTAAAGAACAGATGCCCAACCAAGCCGATACGGAGTAAACTCGTCTGCGAGCAAAACGTGTTTTGTTACCTCGATGTTCGCTCATATCTTAAGGCTCTTAAAAGTACTTTTGCATTCGAAATTCATCGCAAAAAGCACTTACCGACTCCTACAACGGCCGCTAAAAAAAAACAGTAGAAATACTGTATGACCAAAGCAAGACACTCCTCGTCGTTGCCTGCAAACACTAGATGACGTCAGGGCGGACATCAAGCAATAAATAGATTCATAAATAAATAGAAATATGGGGCGTCCGCGATTGTAGTTGGCTAAGACCACACGCGCAGGACGAAATTATAAACTCAGTGCTTGAAAAAAGTCTCCAGTTTTCTACTTTTAGTGCTCAAATGACTTCCATCAAAAAGTCAAATTACTCATTCTGACTGAATTTTTCAAAGGTGCTTACGCTTAATTAGCCTTCCCTCTCAATTTTTTGTTGTCGTTTCTTACTATTAAGTCTGATAGATAAAATTAATGTGCTCACAGACGTTATAAACATTTTTGATATGTAGTATAGGCTTTAATGGAAGACTAACAGAGATAAAACGATACAGTACCTAAATACAACTTTTTAGAAATGTTGACAAAAGGGGTAATGTGGATCCTTTCCTGTCCTGTTATGGGCAATTGAATATATACATGTAGTCAATTTCTTTAACTGACAGAATTGATGTTTTGGCTTTGCCACGATGTTTTTCTTTATTGATCAGGAAAGGGAACCCTTTTACTTTTGTGCAAGTGGTACTACTAGAGAGAAAACTGTAAGGATTGAGGGAACCAAATCGATACCAAAGAAATTCTGATCCCATGGTACCTCTTCAGCTGTTATTGATACACAAGTTAAACTTAAAGAACGGGATAAAATTATTTCTGAAAATAGTAGTTTAATTCCTTTTGTACGATATTCAGAAAAAAACAACTTTGTCCATAAATAAGCTACAGTAATCTCTGTAAGAACAGTGGGGAAAGTACCCATTCAGTCTTAAGGGTCATTAGTATGTATCCATCGCCTAATCAAATCAAAATGCTTTTCAAACAAAACAAACTAAGTACCTTGCTGTCATTGCCCCCAGCTTCGTCTGGACTACTCTTTGCTTTGTCTTCAGCCATTTTGCCGTTCTGTCTCAACAGCGTGGTATTTTCCCTGTCGATATTTTAAATTGTTTAAGTCAGTAAACAGCATTACAATTCGGGTAACGTGGCAAAAGGACCCAGAAGTACAGTGGAACGGCTCTTGTAAGCGGACATCTACTACCTAGAAAAGCGTAGGCTGCTTACGAGAATGGCTCTCTTATGCGGGCACTAGAGGTGTAAGGGTTAAATGGCTGCTAATCGTAGATGGCCTGGCTATAAAAAAAAAACATTAGGAATCGAATAAAAGCTTTTTGTCAGTGTTTGGCTATACTGCTGTTCTCACAACATTTTAATGCAGTCACAGACAAAATTCAATTGAAAATAAAAAATAAAAGAAAAAACTGAAGCTGATATAATTTCATTGCCAGTGGATTTAAAGCTGATTTATCAAATACATGATTCAGAGGAAACGAGATTTCAATTCGGGTGCACGTTGCTTAGGGGAGCTTAAAAATAAAGTCAAAATCTAACTCGTAAACCCTGAGAGTGTCTTCGGCGGACGGCACTCAGAGGACTGTTCGTTAAGAGAGCTGTATTTCTACCCATCTGTAGATGAAATGTCAGTCCATCATGGACTTGTATTGAAAGAGGATAAAGAGTAAAACACTTAATCCACCATAATATTCAAGGATGAGATGAAAAGACATTGTATGGCATCCTAACGACTCTTTTGTTAGCACTTGGTGACTACTTTAACAGTTTATTATAATTTAGTTCATTACGTTGCTCCCTCCCTACACCCAAAAATTACACTATTTAAGCATAGAGAAACAAAATCTAAAAATTTATCTGTGCTAAATGTAGAAAGGTAGGGCTAATTACTCACCATCCCCCCTTTTGATCAACTATAAACCTTCTAATAATTAATTTTTTAAACCATTACGTGAACTAAGTTGACATTCTCGATATCATCTTTTCTTCACTTTTTCACTCTATGTAAAGTTAGCGTGTAAAAGCAGATTGATTATGAGACTTCGTCTCAGGACTTTCGCAAAAACAAAACTAACTGTTTTGGTCGGGATCTGACATTAAGTGTACAATATTTCACCCTTTGTAAACAAATACTGAAATTCACTATCTGTTTACAAGCAATGTTAATCCCCTTTACCTTCTTTCTCTCTCTCTTGCGTTCAAGGGAGGAAAAGACCATGTATTGTGTGACGTTCTCAGAAAAACAGGAAGACTATGATGTAATCTCTTGGGGAGTTCCCCACGAAGAGCTAAGTCATGTGTTTCATCATGTGATATTTTAACCAATGGCAAATTAATTTGGCAAGAAAGTTGGCAAATATTTAGTTTTGGGAAAAAGTTGGTTAATTATGCCTTCAATAGAAGAGCTCACAACTAGATTTGAAAACACATGTCAACAAGACGCTACGGAGCGTACACTTCGGCGTCGTGGTTGTGGAACTAATTAATTGTAAATGTCGAGGAATAGTAAGAAATCAAATATGGTAAGAGTAAGGTGTTAATTTGTGAAATTATGGGATTTGTCAGGATATTCTGAAAAGAGAAACATCCAAAAGGCCTACTTGCCAAAAACTAGCATTTCGGGACAAATTGTCTCCGAGATATTAGCCCAGTTATGCTCTGATGACTCCATACAAATCCTTCTAAAAAAACAATTCTCTATTTTTCTTAGTCACATCAGGCTTCAAAAACTGCATAGCAGTCTCATGTACTGATTTAAGATATGTAAGGCATGGGTAAGGAGTCAATTACGTTGAGCATGGAATTGGCTAAAACTCAAAGTCACGATTTCGAATGTTTTGAGGATAATTATTCACTGACTATCAGCACGCAGGGATGTCGGATTAACACAAGGAAGTTTAACACCAAAGGAACATAGCCTTTACAGAGCTTTAGAAAACAGCATCACCAACACAAACTTGACTTGCACTTTGAGTAAAACTAAACAGCCTCTACCAATAATAACAAACTCTCACTCGAACTTCAGATATCTTACGGCTTCCGCGAACTTGTAAACACAGAACCTGAAAATCGACCTTCGTCACACTTGACTAAACACAGCAGTCCAGCTCGTGGGAAAAAACTTAGTTCGTCAAAAGAACTCGCTTGGAACTTGTATACCGTTTGACATAAGGTTCTAGAAAATACTAAAAAGGCGAATAGTAGTAGCTTTTCGACATATTTTATGATTTCAGTTGCTGATGCAAATCTGCTGACTCATGCCGAAATGTAAACATGCCCTAATTAATTACTCATGCAATCCAAAAACGTAGAGAGCGTTCGAGAAAGTCACGCAACGCATGAAAGCAATTTTACTACGTAACACTCAACAAAGACAAAATGTCTTTGTGCAGCATTTTGTAACTTTAAGTTCATTATATAACAGTTCGAAAGGAGGGCTCACTCGTGAAATGTTTGTCAACACTCGAAGAGAAATTTCGTGTCTCTGCGCGGCCACGAAATATCCTCTATTTATTCCTCGAGTAATTAAAGACTAAACTCGAAGTGATCTCAAGATATCACGAAGTAGTCCGATCTCATTTCGTGAAATAGTTGAAACAAGCCGAAAAGTCACGAACTTGCACGCTCAATCTTGTCCCGAAACTAGTGCATCATTTCATAACTATTTTTCATATCCCAAACTACCTTGGGTCGCAGTAGCGTAATCGGCTAATCCCTCAACTTAGAGTCTCCTCTGATCTGACGGGTCACACAGGTGAGTCGGTTCAAACCCCGGGAAGGCCAAAATAGTAATTCTTTCTTCCCCGAAAAAGTTAAAGAATAAATCAAAGAAATCGAAGTGATCTCGAGATATCTCGAACTAATTCGGCTCTCACTTCGTCAAGCAGCCGAATGGAGCCGAAAACCTACAGACTTTGCTTGCCCAATCTTGTCAAAAAATTGCAACTTTGAGACATTCCTGAGCGTCTCGAATCCTTTACTTCGCGCTCCGCCGAAGTAACAACTACAAGATTCTATCAGAATTATTGAAACACATCTGGGTGGTAATCAAGAAATCCACTTCAATATAAACGAAACAATCTACAAATTGGACAAGGTGGATAACATCCTTGAATCTGAGAGATATGTTGATAGAGTTTGTGTTATCTTCAATGTGTAAAACAATGCTTAAACGTGAGAGAAAAAGACGTAAACTTTAAATGGAAATTGAGGAATATAACAGGTCACATGAGTTGAAAGAATCCAAGAAGGGGAGACAAAACAGGAAAGCAGGGAGCAATCCATATGTAAAACAAAATGCATTAACGCAGGAATGAAAGGAACTCAGAAACAGCAATAATAAAATACACAAAATGAACGCATCAACTTGACTGAACTGGTAATTTAAAATTAAAATATTTTATATTAGTATACGAAATGCATTGTGATACAACTCTACACGATCATTTTAGCGCAAATGAGTATTATTGTCATTTTTGTTTCAAACAATCGAATGCTTATGAAAAACAAGAGACTGAATGTTGGTGCGAAAAATATTTTTAATGAAACAGGTACTCTTGTTTCTGTCAATTGCGGTCAAGTTGAGGGTTACAAGATTGTCAGTGAATACTTTGATTTTTAAGAAAATCTTTACAAGATAAAAAAATGTCTGCTTACCAGAGGAAATACCATGCTGAGAACACACTTGCTGATATTTGTAGTAAAAAGAAGACTGATTTATCACCAAATGAAAAAGGAAAAATATTTCAAATATTTGAGGAAATAGATAAGATATTTCCACAAGTCAACAAAGAACGAAAGCGGCTGATAAATGTTAAATTTGTTTTGAAACAATTATTCAAACAATCAATCAATCAACTTATTTACGTCAATACGTGGGATGGGGTTGCCCCGATCATCCTAGCCAGAGGCTCACGTATGAAACGCATGACAATAAAAAAGGTAATGGGTTCATGATAACCGTCACGAATATAAAGACATTAAGTGACCACTAAGCCAACTATGAGAATGTTGATGTAATTGCTGTAGTTACTGTAGTTGGTGTAGTAGCTGTAGTTGGTGAAGTAGCAGTAGTTGGTGTAGTAGTTGTAGTTGGTGTAGTAACTGTAGTTGGTGTAGTAGCTGTAGCTGGTGTAGTTAATGTAGTTGGTGTAGTTAGTGTAGTTGGTGTAGTTAGTGTAGTTGTTGTAGTAGCTGTAGTTGGTGTAGTAGCTGTAGTTGGTGTAGTTAGTGTAGTTGGTGTGATAGCTGTAGTTGGTGTAGTAGCTGTAGCTGGTGTAGTTGCTGTAGTTGCTGTAGTTGGTGTAGTTGCTGTAGTTGCTGTAGTTCCTGTAGTTGGTGTAGTTAATGTAGTTCGTGTAGTTGGTGTAGTTGGTGGAGTTGGTGTACTTAATGTAGTTGGTGTAGTTAGTGTAGTTGGTATAGTTAGTGTAGTTGGTGTAGTAGCTGTAGTTGCTGTAGTTGGTGTAGTTGCTGTAGTTGGTGTAGTAGCTGTAGTTAGTGTAGTAGCTGTAGTTGGTGTAGTCAGTGTAGTTGGTGTAGTAGCTGTAGTTAGTGTAGTAGCTGTAGTTGGTGTAGTTGCTGTAGTTGGTGTAGTTGGTGTAGTTGGTGTAGTTGGTGTAGTTGCTGTAGTTGGTGTAGTTGGTGTAGTTGGTGTAGTTGGTGTAGTTGGTGTAGTTGGTGTAGTTGGTGTAGTTGGTGTAGTTGGTGTAGTTGGTGTAGTTGGTGTAGTTGGTGTAGTTGGTGTAGTTGGTGTAGTTGGTGTAGTTGGTGTAGTTGGTGTAGTTGGTGTAGTTGGTGTAGTTGGTGTAGTTGGTGTAGTTGGTGTAGTTGGTGTAGTTGGTGTAGTTGGTGTAGTTGGTGTAGTTGGTGTAGTTGGTGTAGTTGGTGTAGTTGGTGTAGTTGGTGTAGTTGGTGTAGTTGGTGTAGTTGGTGTAGTTGGTGTAGTTGGTGTAGTTGGTGTAGTTGGTGTAGTTGGTGTAGTTGGTGTAGTTGGTGTAGTTGGTGTAGTTGGTGTAGTTGGTGTAGTTGGTGTAGTTGGTGTAGTTGGTGTAGTTGGTGTAGTTGGTGTAGTTGGTGTAGTTGGTGTAGTTGGTGTAGTTGGTGTAGTTGGTGTAGTTGGTGTAGTTGGTGTAGTTGGTGTAGTTGGTGTAGTTGGTGTAGTTGGTGTAGTTGGTGTAGTTGGTGTAGTTGGTGTAGTTGGTGTAGTTGGTGTAGTTGGTGTAGTTGGTGTAGTTGGTGTAGTTGGTGTAGTTGGTGTAGTTGGTGTAGTTGGTGTAGTTGGTGTAGTTGGTGTAGTTGGTGTAGTTGCTGTAGTTGGTGTAGTTGGTGTAGTTGGTGTAGTTGGTGTAGTTGGTGTAGTTGGTGTAGTTGGTGTAGTTGGTGTAGTTGGTGTAGTTGGTGTAGTTGGTGTAGTTGGTGTAGTTGGTGTAGTTGGTGTAGTTGGTGTAGTTGGTGTAGTTGGTGTAGTTGGTGTAGTTGGTGTAGTTGGTGTAGTTGGTGTAGTTGGTGTAGTTGGTGTAGTTGGTGTAGTTGGTGTAGTTGGTGTAGTTGGTGTAGTTGGTGTAGTTGGTGTAGTTGGTGTAGTTGGTGTAGTTGGTGTAGTTGGTGTAGTTGGTGTAGTTGGTGTAGTTGGTGTAGTTGGTGTAGTTGGTGTAGTTGGTGTAGTTGGTGTAGTTGGTGTAGTTGGTGTAGTTGGTGTAGTTGGTGTAGTTGGTGTAGTTGGTGTAGTTGGTGTAGTTGGTGTAGTTGGTGTAGTTGGTGTAGTTGGTGTAGTTGGTGTAGTTGGTGTAGTTGGTGTAGTTGGTGTAGTTGGTGTAGTTGGTGTAGTTGGTGTAGTTGGTGTAGTTGGTGTAGTTGGTGTAGTTGGTGTAGTTGGTGTAGTTGGTGTAGTTGGTGTAGTTGGTGTAGTTGGTGTAGTTGGTGTAGTTGGTGTAGTTGGTGTAGTTGGTGTAGTTGGTGTAGTTGCTGTAGTTAGTGTAGTAGCTGTAGTTGGTGTAGTTAGTGTAGTTGGTGTAGTAGCTGTAGTTGGTGTAGTAGCTGTAGTTGGTGTAGTTGCTGTAGTCGCTGTAGTTGCTGTAGTTGCTGTAGTTGCTGTAGTTGCTGTAGTTGCTGTAGTTAATGTAGTTGGTGTAGTTAGTGTAGTTGGTTTAGTTGGTGTAGTTGGTGTAGTTGCTGTAGTTGGTGTAGTTGCTGTAGTTACTGTAGTTGCTGTAGTTGGTGTAGTAGCTGTAGTTGGTGTAGTAGCTGTAGTTGGTGTAGTAAGTGTAGTTGGTGTGGTAGCTGCAGTTGGTGTAATAACTGTAGTTGCTGTAGTTAGTGTAATTGGTGTAGTAGCTGTAGTTACTGTAGTTGATGTAGTAGCTGTAGTTTGTGTAGTTGGTGTAGTTGCTGTAGTTGGTGTAGTTAATGTAGTTGGTGTAGTTGGTGTAGTTGGTGTAGTAGCTGTAGTTGGTGTAGTTGGTGAAGTAGCTGTAGTAGGTGTAGTTAGTGTAGTTGGTGTAGTAGCTGTAGTTGCTGTAGTTGATGTAGTTACTGTAGTTGCTGTAGTTGGTGCAGTAGCTGTAGTTGGTGTAGTAAGTGTATTTGGTTTGGTAGCTGTAGTTGGTGTAGTAGCTGTAGTTGGTGTAGTTAGTATAGTTGGTGTAGTACCTGTAGTTGCTGTAGTTGGTGTAGTAGCTGTAGTTTGTGTAGTTGCCGTAGTTGGTGTAGTTAATGTAGTTGGTGCAGTTTCTGTAGTTGCTGTAGTTGGTGTAGTTAATATAGTTGGTGTAGTTGCTGTAGTTGGTGTAGTAGCTGTAGTTGGTGTAGTTGGTGTAGTAGCTGTAGTAGGCGTAGTTAGGGTAGTTGGTGTAGTAGCTGTAGTTGGTGTAGTAGCTGTAGTTTGTGTAGTTGCTGTAGTTGCTGTAGTTGGTGTAGTAGCTGTGGTTGCTGTAGTAGCTGTAGTTGGTGTAGTAGCTGTAGTTGGTGTAGTTGGTGTAGTTGGTGTAGTAGCTGTAGTAGGTGTAGTTAGTGTAGTTGGCGTAGTTGCCGTAGTTGGTGTAGTAGCTGTAGTTGGTGTAGTTGGTGTAGTTAATGTAGTTGGTGTCGTTGCTGCAGTTGATGTAGTTACTGTAGTTGCTGTAGTTGGTGTAGTAGCTGTAGTTGGTGTAGTAAGTGTAGTTGGTTTGGTAGCTGTAGTTGGTGTAGTAGCCGTAGTTGGTGTAGTTAGTATAGTTGGTGTAGGGGCTGTAGTTGCTGTAGTTGGTGTAGTAGCTGTAGTTTGTGTAGTTGCTGTAGTTGCTGTAGTTGGTGTAGTTAATGTAGTTGGTGCAGTTTCTGTAGTTGCTGTAGTTGGTGTAGTTAATGTAGCTGGTGTAGTT